GGGTTTAGGCTTTTGGGTTTTGGGCTGAAGGGTTTAGAGATTTTAGTGCTATGTTTTTGGGGTTTGGGCTTAAGCGACTAGGCCGTTCCAGGATTTGCGTCACTTTCTGATGGGCTTGAACCGCGCCATGTGGGACGTGGGAGTGGGCATTGAGTCCCGAAAGCAGCAGGATCAACGATGCGTGCCGAGGCTGCTCCAAACTCCACGCCCTGAATCCCCACACCCCAAACCCTAAGGGTCCATGTACCCAAATAGTATATACTTTAGCCTTAATGTAGTCCCCATATAGCTACTTTAGGGCCAATGTATATACTATTTGGGCACATGGACCCTTAGGGAAACCTTAAGCCTTAACTCCGCACCACGACTCCCCGAAAGCCTCAAACCCAAACTCTTTCGAAACCTAAGACCTAAGCTCGAAACCCCAAACACCTCAAACCCAAACATCTAAACCCTAAGCCCTAAAGCATAAACCCCGAAACCCCTAAACCACTAAACCCCAAACACCTCAAACCCAAACATCTAGACCCTAAACCCCCCGAAACCCCTAAACCACTAAACCCCGAACACCTAAAACCCAAACCTAAAACCGAAACACAGATTTCACGGAGTCCACCTCTCGAGGACGTCTTCCGCCGCCCGCCACGACGTAGATGGGCGGGGCGGCCGACGGCTTCCTGAGGGCACTGGGATCCAGCATTAGGGTTTTTTAGGGTTTAGGGTTTAGGGTTTGGGATCCCTTTAGGGTTCCTGGATGCACTGGGATCTAGCATTGGGTTTTTTGTTTTAAGTGCCTCTTCTCCAACTCGCCGGGTTAGAGAGGGTTTTAGGGTTTAGGGCTTGTGACTCCTTGAGGGTCCTTTTTATAAGGGTGTGGTACTATTTTGGGGACCCAAAAGGGAACCCTAATTTAGAGAACTACCCATGTAGGGTTTAGGATTTGGGAAGGAGGAATGCGGCTTTAACAGCAACCCTAGGTTTAAGGTTTCGGGTTTTGGCTCTCGGGATGTGGGCACCCCGTTTAGGGTTGGCTCAGGGATATAGTTTAGGGTTTAGGGTTTAGGGTTTAGGGTTTAGGGTTTAGGGATAGTTGTAAGGAGGGTGTCGGACGGTTTACCTGTGTATCAACTTAGTTAGGATCACGGCTGGTTAGCAACCAGGTCATCGCAGGGGCCGGAATCGAAGCTTCAATGTTCATCATGATCTTTGTGCGGACTTAACGTTGAACATCCTTCAACCCCCTAGCCCCAGTAGGATAGCAGAATCAGTAGAACATTGAGTGAACCCCCTGAAGATCCCTGAACCCGAAACCCTAAACCCGACCTAAACCCTAAACCCTAAACCCTAGACCCTAAACCCTAAACCCTAAACCCTAAAAGGAGCCCTAAACCCTGCGACAAGGAACCTTTAACCGAAAGGCCTAAAGCCTGAGACCCTGGACCCTAACTCATCTAGCACCCTTAAAGGAACCCGAAGCCCAAAAGCATTAATATAGTAATGTAGGAACCTGAAAAAAAATATAACAGGGCTTTGGGGCGGGGGTATAGTATACTCTATATTATAATAAGGAACTAATAAGGAACCCCCCCAACATAGTATAGGTATTTATAAAGGCCCCTTTATTATAGTACGCTTGAAGGAGCCCTACCCCCGAAACCCTTCAAGGAGGTCCACTTCTAAAGAAGCCGAGGGAACCAGGCTTCGAGGCTTCACTCTATACCCCAATTCATTACAGGGGTGGGGTTTGGGGTTCAGGGGTTTAGGGGTTTACGGGTTTAGGGGTTCAGGGTTTAGGGGTTTAGGGTTTAGGGTTCAGGGGTTTAGGGCTGTTGCTATAAGGGACACTACATGGGCTAGTATGAGGGATACTGGGCGGGGTTGGTGTAGGGTTGCCATAAGCGTTACTCTAAGTTTCCTACAAGAGTGATTCGTATATCCTAGCCGTATGCCGTCAACTTGTTAATCTTAAAAACCCTAAACCCTAAACCCTAAACCCTAAACCCTAAAACCCTAAACCCTAAACCCTAAACCCTAAACCCTAAACCCTAAACCCTAAACCTTAAACCCCAAAGCCAGACCGCAAGTCTTAAACCTCAAAGACTCACTTTGGGGTTTAGGTTTAAGGGTTTAGGGCTTAGGGCCTAGGGTTTAGGTTTCAAGCCTTTTAAGCTTCTAGACCGTGAAGCCCTAAAGCCGTAAAGCCTGCAACCCTGCAACCCTGAAGACCCCAAGCCCTAGACTCTTGTAGAGATCCCTCAGAAGGAGGCCGCTTGGGAAATCGAAAACCCTTGAAAGCCGCGTGGTTCTTCCAGGAGCTTCAGGGTTTAGGGTTTAGGGTTCATGTGCAGTTCCTACGAACTGAACCTTTGAACTTGCTCTAGCTCCCAAAGTCCTGAAACCTCAAGACGGCAACAAGAAATGGTACAGTATAGGGGCCCGAGCAATTCGAACTTTATACGGACCGTAAGGAAGACGTGACCTAGTTATTCAAGCCTTAAAAGCAGTAGACACAAACCCTGAACTCCTGAACGCTTAAGCACTGATATCAGGGCTCCTGAATGAAAGGCCAAGCATCGAGCTGGGAAAAGCTCCAGGAGCATAGAAAGATATCCTTAGCTCGTCTTCCGCAATCTGCCATAAACTACCATAGGAAGGAAAGCGGATCATTTACTATCTACCATCTACCCAGCTACCCATCTATCCGTCGACCAACCAATCAATCAATCAATCAATCTACCTATTTGTCTATCTATCTCTTCTAACTTCTATCTAACCATCGATCCACCTATCTGCCTACACACATTCCCTGCGATAGAAAATTATTGCAGGCATATGCAAGTCGTATAGAACGCCTATAAAGGCGCTTGGCATTGGTGCAACAAGGGCACTGATGAGGGTGGTGGTAGTGGTCACAACATAATTTTATAGTAATGACCATGAGCAATACTGTAATGATGGTGCAATGATCATGAGAATAATAATATGAATAGCAAGACCAAGAACAATAGCATAATAATGATAACAATATAATCATATCAAGAACAGCACACATGAAACTATGTAAACACCCATAGAAGTATGAACAAACCTCAACCCTGGGGTTTTTAACATCGGACAGGGTCTTCTGTGGCTTGGTCTCATGGCCGTTGCTCTCCGCTCCATTCGGGCCATGTGGCGCTTGCATCGGAGGTTCGGGGACAAGAAGCTTTCTAGGGTTTAGGGTTTAGGGTACCCTAAACCCTAAACCCTATTCTAGGGTTGCGCAACGCAGGGTAGGGCCTGACAGACAGCTTTTAGTTCGTCAGGGCTTATTCTGGGTCTTGGTATGAGGGTTCCCAGGTCTACCATGGTCTACCCAGGGACAAGAAGCTCTCTCTCTCTCTCTCTACCAATCTTTGGCTTTTATACTGGCATGATGCTGAATTCGATTCAGGCTACCGATACCAAGCAGGTCGTGGGTTGCTGAGTTCAGCTAGGGTGGTGGGGTTGAGGTTTAGGGTTTAGGGTTTAGGGTTTAGGGTTTAGGGTTTAGGGTTTAGGGTTTAGGGTTTAGGGTTTAGGGTTTAGAGTTTAGGGTTTTGGGTTTGAGGCTTGAGGGATGTGGGTTGAAGCGTGAAACAAGTGGGTTCGAAGGCTGAAGGCTCAGGGGTGCTTGCGTGCAGATGGCTGGACCTCATCGGGGTTTAGGGCTTAGGGTTTAGAGGTTTAGGGCTTAGGGTTTAGAGGGTTAGGGGTTTGGGGTTTAGGGTTTTAGGGTTTTAGGGTTTAGGGGTTTAGGGGCTTAGGGTTTAGGGAGCGATTCAGGAGGTGTGCAGTCGGGTGGGGCTCAAGTACCAGGAAATCGGAGTCCTAACAACTTTTCACAGGCCGCTGAAGACCACGACCATCAGACGTAGGAACACTGACAATAAGGACATTAGTCAGGATCCAGGCTTCATGTGGGCGTAATGTGCTGCGTGTCGGGCCAGCTTACTCTGCGGTCAATTCAACTCTGCTTGCTGAGATCTGCCATAAGTGGGAGCTTCAGGACCATGTGCAGCTTGAGTGTAAACTTGCAAGACGGCTTGGCGTGGCAGAGCCTGTCCTGCATGCCGACAACCTGCGTTCACACCCGTAGGGGCCTTAATAATTAGAATAGTGTCTTGGGGTATATTATACTACAATTATAATAAGGAGCCCCCAAAATAGTATAGGTAATTATTTAGGCCCCTATATTAAACAAACCATCAAGGTTCAAAACCTGCACAAGGGACATGAGGGCCCACCCTGCCCCTTGACTTGGACGGCACCTCTGCCTATCCCCCTCAAGGTTTAGGGTTTAGGTTTAGGAAGCCCGAAGATTACCTGAAACCGCAAGCTACACATTGACATCCCCGCATAACTATACCCGCCAGCCAGCCAAGGAGTGTTTGTAGTCTCAAACCTTCCAGGACTATCCTCCCCCAGTCCTAACATCTCAAGAATTGTAGGGCTTCGGCTGATAGTGCGGTGCTTGGGGTTTAGGGCCCCTTGCAGACCCTTTACAGAGCCTTTCTAGGTAGCTTACCGCACCCTCACCCCACTCCCATGCTTCGTTTTTCCACCTCCAACTTCGCTCGCATCATGGTTCTTCGTGGGCAGAAAGGAGAATAATCCCTACATGCTGCCATTTACCGCCTTTTTTGGGGTTTGGGATTTAGGGTTTTGGGCCTTGGGCGGTAGGGTTAAGTTTAGGGTCGATGCATGTAAACCCTGCAAACCCGACCTTACAGCCTGCGAGAACTCGATTTGGCTTAGGGTGATGGCAGCCCTGTTTCATCTCATGTCATCCTTCCCTTCGGTAAGGATCATGGGATTTAGTAAGTTACCCTATGTTTTACCTGACTTGTGATCCTTCAAGTACGAAGTACCAGGGTGGTCACGCCCAAAGGTAGACGCGGCCATCAGAGCCGGCCGTGAAAAGCCAAGGCTGATGAGGATGCCAGGCACAGGCAAGGACGCCGAAGCCCTGGCATTGAGTTTCCGGCTTGAGCTTAGCGCTTAGGGTTTCGGGGTTTTAGGTATTAGGGTATGGTCAAAGAGACCTTTTGAAGGAATCTAGGGATCGGTTTAGGGCCTTACTTGCAACAGCCCTACGTTTAACTGTCCAATGGCCGCTAATGTCCAATGATGTCAATAGACACCCGATAGAAGCAACACAACAATGCACTGCCTTTCACTACCCATGTTTCTGCAGGGCCTTGCAATAAAGCCTCACGAGGTGTACAAATACATAGATAAGTGCAAGTAATTTTATACAAACACGACGCGCACACACAAACACAAACACACACTTGCTCCCACTGTGCACCGTGAAGCTACCTGCATTTCATGCCAAACCCTAAAACCCTAAAACCCTAAACCCTAAATCCTGAAACCCTAGACCCTAAAACCCTAAACACTAACACCTTGAAGCCCTAAAATCCTAAAACCCTAAAACCCTAAACCCGAAACGCTACAACCCTAAAGCCCTAAACCCTAAACGCTTCTTGCTTTAGTTTCCTGTTGCTCTCAGTGGTACTACTGGAGCGCTGAACCGTTAATACTACGCATACGCCTCACACTGCGGCGGCACTTGCTTCTTCGGTTGAAAGTTGACGGCATCAAAAACCGTTACTAGCGAAATATAAGGGCCTAAATAAGTACCAATACTATTTTGGGGGGGTTCCCCATTACAGTCACAGTATAATACAGCCCAAAACCCTATTCAAATTATTAAGGCCCCTTTCTTAACATCTCTTGTTGTCGTTGTGGCTACCTCTCCTGTTCGCGACTGAAACGTCTCAGGTTTTGTGCTGGTAGCATGCATCCGCCTGATTGACCATGTGGTCCCTCAGGCGCTTCACCGGCACGATCATGGGGCTTTGCATGAGGTCCGAGAAAACCTGCCGAAGCAACTCATTCGCACAAGCTCAACCCTAAACCCTAAACCCTAAACCCTAAACCCTAAACCCTAAACCCCTACATCCTCTTCCCGACCAGGACCCCCCAAGCACCCTTGAATAGAGCCCTCATAGTCCTTAATACTGGGTATTTCTGACTTCC